GCTGATTGGGGGAAAAAGGGAGGAGAGAGGGTATTTTGGAGCTACTGGAAAAGTGAGGAAGAAGGAGAGAAATTCGGGGAAAAAATAGGCAAAATATGTTTTTAGGGATTTTAATTTTAGCGATGGTTTTTAAATTGTCGCTAATTAAAAAATTCAAATTATAGCCATTTCCCCCTAACGGTTCAAAATTAGTGACGAGCTTTACTAAACGTCACTAATTTCTCTCTATTTAAATCGTTGCAAACAAATAACAATTTTTGTTTTAATTTTAGAGGATTTAGCAACAGTTTGGGTAGATTGTTGCTAATCCTCATCGTAAGGAAAGGAATTTTAGTGATGGTTTAACTAAACCGTTGCTAAATTCCCTATTAATTTGGAAATTAGCAACGGTTTAGTTAAACCGTCACTAATTTTCAAATTAAAATATGGTTTAGCGATGATTTAACTATACCGTCGCTAAAATCAGTCATTTTTTTATTGATTTAGCAATGGTTTTGTGAACCGTTGCTAATCTTTTTTTCAAATCTCATTTTGCTAAATTTCTATTAAAACCGTCACAAAAATTGCTTTTTTGCTACAATTTTTTAGACTCTTACAAAAAAATCATGGCTATTTTTAATTATTCTGGTGGTGCGTGTGGAGCTGGAAGGGATGGATTTCGTTGGCTGGCTGTGGTATAAAATACTGGATTCAAATTTTCTGTCTATAGGGAGGCTGGTTTATTTAATCTGGTTCGTATGGAATCATCGAAACAGGAGTAGGTGGGGAAGTAACGGAGGTTGCATCACTTCAAGCAATAGCTGAGGACTTATGTGCACAATTTTTAAGTGCGCAGGAAACTTCAAAGACTCCCCTTCATTGTCCAAGTCTACAAGCATTTGAGATGTTAAATGGAGTTGTCCCTTGCCTCCATTGGTCAAAATCAACGTGGATGGGGCAACGAATCCGTTTCGCTGCTGAACTGGACCTTATTGAGATTGAGCCAGGTAGTCCAGGCCCCAGGGCCTTAGCTCCTTTGATCTGGATAATGCTCTGTATGGCAATGTTCTAAAGACACCAGAGATCTTATGAACCGTTTTAATTGTGCTCATAATAGGGGGGAGAATGTCTGGTTAGAAGACCCACCCTTTCTACATATATATGACTCACTACATTCACATGAGCATTAGAAAATATAAATAGAATATGAGGGTATATGAAAATGAAAAATTATGTTCATATTTTCTTCCATATGTTATTTTGTCATTGTTTTGAACGAAAATATCCCTCGACTCACTAAATGAAAAATCAAATTTCAAAACCTAAAAGATTAGAGATTTGTCTGACAAAGGAGTCCCACTATACGAAAAGGAAGAAGGTAGGATCCCAAACTTCGATTTTCAAGTTATCAAAACACCATAATAAACCCTAAAAAAAAAAAAAAAAATACAAACAAAAGAAAAGTTTGAAAAAATTATCGAAAAAAAAAACCATGTAGATTGAAATATATCTACACAACAAATAAGTTTTATAGGACATGGATTTTTTTCACGTTTTTCATTTGTTTTCTAGTTTTTTTTTTATGGTTATTTCAATTTTTTTTCCATGTTCTAAGTTTTTAGGTGTCTAGGTCTTTTCATTTCTTTTTTTCTAATTTTTTCTATATTCTAGATTTTCAAGTTTTGTTGAGTTTTTTAAAATTAATTTTTTTTTATTTTGACAATTATTATTATTATTTCAATTTGTTTGGAAAAGAGAAGTGAATGAAAGAGAAAGGAAGAAAAAAGAGGATAATGAAGATTAATGACATGAAGGACATTTTTACTGGAAGACAAGAGAAGAAAATAATAAATTAGTCTTTCTACTTTCAAGAAACAAATTAATTAATCCTTTTTTATTTAAACACTTATTATTTAGTTTTTATATTTTAAAATTTTTTTTATAACTTAATCCTTTTTATTTTTTAGTTTATTTTGATTTTTTGCTTTAAGAAATAAAAAAGGAAAAAAAATAAGTAAACCAAATGGAAGAATTGATGAGGGAAAAAATAATATATTTTTTTTAAAATAAGGCATTATTAAATTAAGTATGATCGGTATTGATTATGAGACTAAATAATTAATTTTTAAAACTAAAAAGACTAATTATCGATTCGTTTCTAAAAATAAAGGAACTAATTTATAATTTGTTCTATGAAAAAGCTACTTTCTTGCTTTATGCTAAAAGTAAGAAGTCAATAGAACCTAACAATTTAAATGGGCTGAGCCAGATCTTTGGCAAGGCACTTGTCTATGACATTTGGAACTCAAGAGAGGAAAAGTATTAAATACCACGTTTAAAACTTGTTATCCTATTAAACGGTTTGATGACAAAAAAAGTCCCTAAACTCTTATGATTTGATAATTTTAGAACTGTATTATTAATTTGGATTAATTAGATCCAAACTATTATTTTTAGTGGACTAAAAGTATAGAATGAAGAATATAGAATTAATATTGAGCTAACAATTAGTAACGATGATAATAAGATATAAAGAGTGATAAATAAGGAAATCGAGATCCTCCACTTCACAATATGAAGTCTTAAGTGAGTTGTTATACTGATACGTATCATTCTTTTACAAAGAAACCCAATTCTAATATTGTCTTATTGATGGACGAGAATAGCTAAACAACTTACGTAATCAATGGTCTAACTTATGATAAGGACCAAAAAAGTTTAATGATTGACAACATCATTAACTTTGTGAGGTAACGGAGAAATACTTAATGATGGTCCTAATGATTCTCTAAAATAAAGAAACCTATTGACATGTCGGTCATATTAATAGCATGTGAAAAAAAAATTATATGCTAGTATGACTGACATGAATATTAGATGATAAGTTGAGATTTATCTCGTATAGGCTGAAGGAGGAGATTTATTGGGTGCATAATGTAGGTCCGATTCATGAGTGATCTTAGCATAACCAATTAAGAAATTAAATAGAAAAAATGACTATATTAAATTTGGAAATAAAAAAGAAGGACAAAAGACTATTTTTGTGCATGTTTGTACATATTGTGGCATGAAAGAAACGAAAATTTTCTTTGTTGTTTTGTTTTTAGCTAAAACATGCAGTATTATATATACAAGCCAAAAAAATTGGTCTTTCTTTGGTCTTTTTTGATACAATTATTGAGAAAGCGAGAGAGAGAGAATACAAAATGACTACTTTAAATTTGAAAAGAAAAACGAAGGACAAAAGGCTATGTTTGTGCATGTGTGTGGCGTGAAAGAAAGGAAACATTTCTTTCTTGTTTTGTTTTTACCTAAAACATGCAATATTATATATACAAGAAAAAAAAAGTCTTTCTTTGGCCTTTTTGACATAATTAGAGAGAGAAAATGAGAGAATACTATTAGTTTTAAGTTATTACATAAAATAAATAATTAACGATGTTATAATAAAGGATTTCAATTAATAAATTTATAAAAATAAAGAATTTTAATTAAACTGAAAAATAATAAACGATCTCAATAAAAAAAATTAGAATTATATATAATCAATTATAAGATAAACCCAAATAACATATAAATTGATGAAAAATATTTTTATCCTTGAATAAAAAAAATCATAAAATTGATAGTTAGTACTAAACTTTCATTTTATGTTAGGCAATAAGATATTTCATGAAAGTCTTTAGACATCTGTTCCACACATTAATAACAGTGGTCCTTCCAAGACATTAATGTTAAGAGTTTGAATTATTACGCAATCTCAAACAAAGAAAGTCTCTTTCGAGACAATGTTTTTAGCCGATCCTATCTTCTTTACTCTGGTCTATTCCGATCCTATATTCCAGATCCACGGAAAGTTTGTGCTGAGCACGTCAGCAGAATAATTTTTCTTTATTACAAATCATCTAATTTCTTTTTACTTACCCAAACAACATTGTGTGTTCAAAATGCCTATACTTTTTTCTGGTCAGTTCCCCAATTGATCTGCTGTGTTTAAAAAAATTAATAAATGTTTTTTGAATATTATTCTAAGATTTTAATTTAAAAAGACTAAGAAAACAAATCTTCTTAACAAACATAGTCAATATCTAAAATTAGACGTAACCTTTTGATTTGGGATTGAGTTGGATTTAATTTTTCAAATGGTGAAAGAATGTTTAGAAATTAGAAACAAAAGATTTGATGATTAATTTTTAGATATGAAGGAAATTGGCTGATGTGCAGAGAGTGGTAAGAGACTTGATCATGTGGATCCTACTTTCGACAGCCTGCAAGTCTTATGCTGTAATAATTAATGCTAAGTATTTATTTTAATTTTCAAATTTTAAAAATAAGGTCACATACAAAATTAAATATCATCAAATCATAAAAATGTATTATCATAAATGAAGATTTTTTTTTAAAGGTATTTTTGAACCATTTTCACTCCTTTAAATCAAAATTTATTATCCATGATTAATCAAGAACAAAAATTAAAGGATCCATGCATGCTATAATCAAATGAGAATGGTTCTATAGACTGATTTTTGAACATTAAACGTATTTAAGGAAATAAATTATTTTAGATGCTAAAATTCCAATTCAAAAAATGAAAAAGTCTGTTAACTGCCAGACCAACCTCCTTCGCTTAATCAACAAAAATACGTTGATGTCAATGCTCAAAACATAGGCAGTGTAAACTCTCCATAAATAAGGCCTTCGAACAGCCAAATGTCATTGAATTTGGACCACTCTCCTCCTCTCTCTTTTCTTCATTATTTATTGCTTCCTCTTCCAACCCAAGCTCTGCTCCACAAATGATCCTTGTCTTCTCCGTATTATTATGTTAGAGCAAACCTCCTTGCCTTTTAATTTAGGAAAGGAGAGCCAAATATAGAAGAACATCCCATGTATCAGTTCCTTATTTGAGGCCCTGATGATTTTATAGCTAGCAGATTGTTCACCCCTGCTGACACGAATTTCAATCATAAGCAAAACCCACTATTTGCATTTCCTTACTTTTGTATCTCAATCAATCTGCAATGGAGAAATCTGGTTATGGTCGTGATGGTATTTACAGGTCACCAAGACCAAAACTTGTCCTTCCTAAGGATCCTAATCTTTCTTTGGTCTCGTTTCTTTTTAGAAACTCCAATTCTTACCCTCATAAACCAGCTCTAATTGATGCAGATTTGTCAATAACCTTATCTTTTTCGGAGCTCAAATCCGTCGTTATCAAGGTCGTTCATGGATTACTCAATCTGGGTATCTCTAAGAATGATGTTGTTCTTATTTTTGCTCCCAATTCATACCAATTCCCTATCTGTTTCTTGGCGATCACTTCCACTGGTGCTATTGCAACAACTGCAAATCCTCTTTATACAACCTCGGAACTTTCTAAACAGATTAAAGATTCTAACCCCAAGTTGATTTTTACAGTCCCTGAATTATGGGACAAAGTCAGAGGTTTCAATTTGCCTGCTGTCTTTTTAGGACCAAAAGGAGTGTCTTTGCCGTCTGAGTCAGGTTCAAGAGTCAGGAGTTTCCATTCTTTGGTTGAGTTAGGAGGGTCTAACTCTGAGTTTCCTGTGAGTGATGTGAAGCAAAGCGATATATCTACGCTTTTGTATTCGTCAGGGACTACAGGGGTTAGTAAAGGAGTGATTTTGACGCATGGGAATTTCATTGCTGCGTCTTTAATGGTCACTATGGATCAAGTAATGGCAGGTGAGATGCACAGTGTATTCCTTTGTTTCTTGCCCATGTTTCATGTCTTTGGATTGGCTGTGATCACTTACTCACAGCTACAAATGGGAAATGCTGTCGTGTCAATGGGGAAGTTTGAATTCGAGATGGTTTTGAGGACTATCGAGAAGTATAGGGTGACTCATATGTGGTTGGTGCCTCCAGTATTGCTTGCTTTGGCAAAACAGAATTTGGTTAAGAAGTATGACCTTTCGTCTTTGAAAAATATCGGTTCTGGTGCTGCTCCTCTGGGAAAAGATTTGATGAAGGAATGTGCCAAGAATTTGCCTGATACTATAATTACTCAGGTAGCTGATATGGCTGGTTTTTTTTTTTTTATTTCTCAAAAAGTAAACCAAGAAAGAAGAAGAAGAAGAAGAAGAAGAAGACTTTCTTTTTCTTTTTATCCTGAATCAAGATGCTCTCTGTGGTTTCAGGGCTATGGCATGACGGAAACTTGTGGCATTGTTTCAGTGGAGGATTCAAGAACGGGTGTTCGACATTCTGGTTCTGCTGGAATTCTTGCTGCAGGAATTGAAGCAAAGATAGTCAGTGTGGAAACCCTAAAGCCTCTCCCTCCTAGTCAGTTAGGGGAAATATGGGTTAGAGGACCCAATATGATGAGAGGTAAGGTTCCTATTAGCCTACTTCAACGAGAAGCTTTCAGTTCTTTCGCAAATGGCTCTTAGAATTTCGGTGTTAGAACCCAAAAAAAAAAAAAAAAATTGATCTAACTAGGAAAAATAATGAAATGACTAGCTTCCTGTGTGCATGATTGGTCAGCCTGATGCAAGTGTGGCTTACAATTAGATTCTCTTGATGGAATCATATCTCAAATATCCATTTACCTAACCTAAGCCACCATGTTGTGCAATCCATTGGCAGGTTATTTCAATAATCCGCAAGCCACAAAAGAAACCATAGATAAAAATGGTTGGGTACATACTGGAGATCTTGGATATTTTGATGATGACGGACAACTTTTTGTTGTTGATCGGATTAAAGAGCTCATCAAGTACAAAGGTTTTCAGGTAATTCTAGTAAAGGAAATTCATCAATATTTGTAAGCTTATTACCTGTAGAAATACATCGCAACATTGTTCACTCACTCTGGCTACTGAATTGGGCTAAACATTTTCTTGATTGATTCTCCTCACTAGGTTGCACCAGCTGAGCTTGAAGGGCTGCTAGTTTCTCATCCTGAAATTTTGGATGCTGTTGTCATCCCGTAAGTTTGAACACATGCATTTCTTCCTTTGATTTTACTGAACTCGTAAAAAATACGTCCATGTTAATTTCTATCTAATATATACACCGATGATTCACATGCTGTAGATATCCTGATGCTGAAGCTGGTGAGGTCCCAGTTGCGTATGTTGTTCGCTCACCCAACAGTTCATTGACGGAAGAAGATGTTAAGAAATTTATTGTTGATCAAGTAAGTGACATATTCTGGGAGGCTCTGTGTTTGCATGAGAACCATAATTAATCTAGTAGAATTCAGTTGAGTTTGATTCATCTTCTTCTTGTATCACCTTAATTTTTGGTACCATAGTATTAAATAATGGCCGTTATGTTATATAACGATCGTTATGTAACGGTTTCGGAATATGCTATTACTGTTATTTTAGTATTATAATAAACTACAATCCGCGATGATGACCGCAAACGTTTTTTCAACGGACCGTGATTTAAAACTATGTTTGGTACTATGAATTCTCAAGGCTTTCCATTTGATTGGGCAACAACTATAACATTAACTGATTGCAGAAAACTTAGGTGAACTTGTTCTGCACAACGATCAAAGATTGGGCAACACATAGTATTGTAATATTATTACTATGATAACTGCTAAATTCTATTTTCTAAAATAAATTCATCCCATCTAGTTGACAAAGCTGTGCTGAGTCCTCTATAGTGATCAGTCCAGTAGCCCTGTTGCTCATCGTTCAAAATGACATCTTTTTTCTTCAATTTGCATGTGATGTTTGAATAAGTTTTTGCTGTAATTTACAATTGATTTTCTTCTATGAATTTGAAATGCTTACAAATATACACTCTGTACACGGAGTACATTTTTATTTTTTCTATGTTATAAGTAAGCCTGCGCCTATGCTTTCTTCAGTTCACCATCAAGCCATTTCTATGTTTTGCAGGTTGCACCTTTCAAAAGATTGCGGAAGGTGACTTTCATAAATACTGTACCTAAATCAGCTTCAGGAAAAATCCTCAGAAGAGAGCTCATTCAGCAAGTAAAATCCAAAATGTGAGGTTGTACAATCTGCTCTCGAATATTTGTTGCTAATCAAGGACTGCTAGCTTGCAGGTGAATCGCCTGGATTCTTATTGGCTTAAAAACTACAGATATCTCCACATATTATCCATTTCTCTCTTCTTACTGTTTACTGAAAAAGACAATAAGGTTAAAACTGTTAGATTTTGTTTAGATTTTATTTAATGACTTCAAGTTACTATGGAATAATGGCTTTTCAACATGTTGCGAAAGTTACTATCAGACTTAACTACTTGATTAATATACTGTTCTTCAAATGTTGCTTAAGGCTTTAGGATTCACTGGATGTGCTAAGCATGATCCGTCAATGAGCAGCGTTAACAAAATGATGCAATCAACTGTTAAATTCTATTGTACTCAAGAAGAATAAAACCGTTCTCCGAAAAACTTCTTGGCTGGAAGATGAGGGAATGGAAACTTACATGTTTAAGCTAGCTCCTTACTGGTGCATGTTTATTGAAACAATTATTTGCTTCGATGAAACATTGGTTGTGCCTCTGCTAAAATCTCTTCTTCCGTTTTCTTAATCAAATTTAGAATTTTTCTCTTATTAATAAGCATGAACGTTATAGGACCTGGACACCAATTTGAGATCATTTTTCACTGCTTTCCTATAATTGCTTTAGAAGGCTGCCAAGTCTTGCAGCTGCACGATCCTTAATCTCTAGGTAAAAGGAGAGGAGATTTATGAGACCTTTCTCATGTTGCCTTACTCCAAAAGCTAAAACGTCCCATAACTCCTAAACTATAGACCTCCAAAGCTAAAACGTACAATAACTCCAAAAAACCGCAAAAACAATTCTTTTAACCTCTCAAACAATTTTAATATATGATTGACACCCTTATAGTTTTTTTTTTCTTTTTAATTTCAGTATATGAACTATAAGATGTTTAGACACCCTCTATGACCATTCACTACTCGAACTTCATCATTTTGACCACCAAATTACTCCAAAAAAACCGCCTAAACAATTCCTTTAACCTCTCAAATTGTTATTATAATAAGAAGAGGAAGAATAAGGAGGTAAATTAGATTTATGATTAACCGATTTGAAAACTAACATTCTGCATCAATAATAATCTGATGCTTAAACTGATGTTACCTTATATATTCCAATTAATTATTTTTTCATCTGGCAGTCCTATATTGTTTCAATCACAAAATTAGCAAGGATATATGAAAACTTACGTAAATTTAAAAATACCAAGCACAAAAGCACCACGGACCATTCCTGTAAAAGTTAAGCCACTTAAAATCACCAGCAAAAAACATATCAAGTTATGTAGTATGTTGAGCTTGCACAGGATTAACAATACTGATAAAGTTGGAAACAATACCTAGATGACTATTCAAAACGGCAGCAGCATTTGAACTTCCAGGTTCCCTTTGACAAAAGTATATCTAACCTGCAAACAGCAGGAATCAAGAGAAGTCAGATCCATCAATGATAATGACACCAAACACTTCTAAGAAAATATAGGAGTTCTGTCATGGACTTTGAAAGTGTGAAAATGGATTACTCCTAGAGATGCTAAACTAGGAAGAATTGCATTTCTCTCCGTTGCCAGTGCTGAACAAACCAACGCAACAAAATCACTCTTACCTTTCAAAGGTGATGCACTCCATTGACCAAATAGTGTTCAGAAGATATTTCATCCAAAGTTATGTGTTGAAGATACCAAACCCACCTTTTTATTCACTGACTGCTGGAAAGAATACACTTTTCAGATATATCATCCCTACAAAGATAGGTCGAACCTAGATGGTCCCTGTTATCTAAACAGTAGGCATTGCTTCATTCTCAAGCATATGATAATAAAAGTAAGCCTGGGAAGAGCCCAAATAATCACATACTTGTAAACAGAAACATAATGTATCAAATATAAGATTACTGAATTGACCAAATAATAGTGTACTTGGACTTTGTGAACAGTTGCACCTGACATTCCTATGGTGCAATGTGTCAATTATAGGCTCATGGTAGAATTAGTACATTCAAACAAATCTAACTTGAAGTATTGAGATGAACATAAATATAAGAAAATCAAATTTCAAATTGATGTTAAACACTTCTTATTCCAATAAAAGATTATTTTAGTTAACCTTCTACTACGTGTGTTTGGTGTTCTTTCATTTGGTTTTATTATTTGCAGAGCTATGTTCTATCACAATCAGTGACCATTTTTTCTAACTTCGATTATATAGATCTTTCACAACAGTAACAAGCTGCTTTATTTCAATTTGAGAGAATATGTGCAAGAGTTATACAAATTAGCAGTCATGAAAAAGGCTTACTTAGCAAAAAAGAAAAGAAAAATACTGCCAGTTCAGCATGCATAACTTGATGAATGCTAAATCCTCCTCCTGTAAAATTTTGTTGATAAAGTCAAATATTGGCTCCATCTAATATTGCTTCATCGTCAACATTTTTTTCTAGCCTATTATATTGCATGAATACATAGAAGTAAGAAAAAAAAAGAGTATCAATAACAAATAGGTTCAAAATATAAGAGCCATAATTTTTTTCTTAAGAAATGAGCTATTTAAATTCTATAACACTATTAAACAATTATCATGAAATTGCAAGTTTCCTACGACACAATAGCATTCGCATGTTTCTCCACCAAAATAAAGAAGAAAAGATCACGAATCCAAATACCTAAAAATTTACAATTTTTAAACCAAATTTGACTCACATCCATTTGCACACTTGAAGAAAGCTGCTTAAGAAACATAAAGCATGATAAAGGACAGCAACATGTTAAACCATTGGTTAAAATAGCTTAGTTCCAATGCCAATAGAACAAGGCATAACTATAACAGCTTATCAAGAAAATGCTTAACTATCACCATGCCACGTAATAGATATGCAGAGAAAGAAACTATAAAGGATTGAAAGTATCGATACTAATAATAATAAAAAAAAAATCCTAGTCAATCAATGGGATGACACCAATTTCTTAATCTCTATAATTCTCAAATGTCAACATAAATCATAGAAAAAATTAAAAAAGAAAAAAAATCCAATGAAAATAACCAATTACATACAATCCATTAATGAATAAAAAACAATCACATAGAAACAAGTACAAAAATAAACACTACTATCACTCACAAAAATTAGCCTAACTCGCCTTTCCATAACCAATCCAGCAATGAACTCAACAAACCTCTCTATTTCATCATCATCAATATCAACAACAACCACCTAATCTCCAAGATAATAACACTTTCCACCAACATCCACACTCCTTCTCCCCATCACCCATTTCTCTATCCCAATCCATCCCAACCCATGCCAACCTCTGTCATTCCTTAAAACCACCTTTCTTCCCAAACCCCTATCTAATTCCACCTTATTACCCTAAAAAACCTCAAACCGATGCTCAATAACCTCCACGATCCCTTCTTTCACACACCTCACTATCTTCCTCAATTTTTGAAAACACTCACAAACCCTCTCCCTTTTTCTAGTCTCTACACTAACTTTCAACAATACCGCAATCTCCCCTCTTCTAAATTCATCCCCATACTTTCCATATGTTCCTCCATTTGATAAGAACTTGTCACAAAAACAAAACAAAGCAAGACCATAAGTCTTTAACCTTGGCAATACATTATAAACCACCCCTATATTTTTAACCAAACTAAAAGCATAATCGGTATCCCCTTTAGCTACGACTAGTCTAGTAACAACAATGATTAAAGATTCATTGGGTTTGATACCATTGGAAAACATATGATCAAATATACGAAACCCACATTATAAAGAAAAATATTTAGTTGAAGGGTGATTGAGGGAGATTGAACGAGAGGTAAAGGAGAGTGTTACGGTGGTGTTAATTGAGATAAGTGTTTTGGGATATTGTAGTGTCATAGAGAGAGATAGTAGAGCATAAATCTTTGGGTTTTGAATAAAAGTTGAGTTTATAGTTGAATTAGAATTATGGGTTTCGGTTGTTTTTGGCTTTCTTTTTCTCTTCGAGGTAGCCATTGCCATTCTCATAGGAAAATCAAAGGAAAGAGGGAAACATCAAAACCACTAGCGTTTTTTCTTTTTCCTTTAAAGAAATATCAAAATTATTCAAAAGCTTAGCGTTGAAAAACCTATTGACAAAAGACTAAACTTTTAGTCAAACATAACTTAAGCCCCAACCTTTAAAACTTTTGATTTGGGTCCCCGTCCAAAATTATTCCAAATTAGACAAGATTCGACTAGACGGTGATATATATATATATATATATATATATATATATATATATATATATATATATATATATATATATATATATATATTCTTATGAATTTAATGAACATCCAAGAACGAAAGAGTTTTACAGAGAAAAATTAGAATAATTTTAATGTAGCCTAATTAACATATATATAATCTCTTTAAAGTCAATCTACATTAATTAACATGCTTATAAGCATATAGTACCATTAACTATTGGCTAATTAGTTCAATAGTATTATGTACTATGAGTCAAACGTTCACTAGTATACTAAATTCAATTTTTCTCAATTTCAGCACCATAATTATTTTTTGATTTATAATCAAGTCGATCGATTTTGTTGATCAAATCCCGACCATACATGATGGTAAAATGACCAAACAATCCTCTCTTTTTTTCCTCTTTTGTTTTTCCCCTTCCTTTCCTCTCTCTCACCTTTATTTTTTTCCTTTCTAAACTCTCCATAATTTCTAATCGTGCTTTGACACATCAAAAAAAAAAAAAAACGCTTCGATAGGACATAAAAATTAAGTAGCAAACCAAAAAATGCTATTAAGAGAACTAGATAAAACTCTTCCCTTCCTTTTTTTCTTCTCGAAAAGTGTCAATTTTTTTATCTTTGTTAAAAACGCGATCACAGAGTGCAAAATATCAAACAAAGTTCAATGTAATTCACCACCGTCTTATGAGATTACTTTTTCAAATCCCCACAAAAAAAAAAAAAATGGATGTCTTCCTCATGCCATCACCATAAGCACTTCATCTTCCTTAAAGAGTGAATAAAATATTGTTTCCCTCATTATCGAGCAAAGTAAGAACATGAAGCAAAAGAAGAGAAATTTGGTTTCATAGGAAAATGGGTTCTTGGTCTTGGCTACAAAAAAGAAGAAGAACAACCAAAGTTAGGTTCATTATAAATTTGATTTCTCTTAGTAGTAGAAAATTTATGAATGTTTTGATCTGGATGAGTGCAATAGTGAGGTGTGTAGTTGGGTTGCAGGCGGAGGAGATAAATGATCGAATTTAATGGTACTACTGGGATCAATATTACTATGGTTAGCGACTAGTTGAGATTGATTTGTGTCAAGATAGGACATAAAAATTAAGTAGCAAACCAAAAAACGCTATTAAGAGAACTAGATAAAACTCTTCCTTTCTTTTTTTTTTTCTTTTTGAAAAGTGTCAATTTTTTTATCTTTGTTAAAAACGCAATCGGAGAGTGCAAAATATCAAACAAAGTTCAATGTCATTCACCACCGTCTTATGAGATTACTTTTTCAAATCCCCACAAAAAAAAAAATGGATATCTTCCTCATGCCATCACCACAAACACTTCATCTTCCTTAAAGAGTGAATAAAATATTGTTTCCCTCATTATCGAGCAAAGTAAGAACATGAAGCAAAAGAAGAGAAATTTGGTTTCATAGGAAAATGGGTTCTTGGTTTTGGCTACAAAAAAAGAAAAAGAACAACCAAAGTTAGGTTCATTATAAATTTGATTTCTCTTAGTAGTAGAAAATTTGTGAGTGTTTCGATTTGGATGAGTGTAATAGTGAGGTGTGTAGTTGAGTCTGCAGGCGGAGGAGATAAACGATCGAATTTAATGGTACTACTAGGATCAATATTAATATGGTCGGCGACTAGTTGAGATTGATTTGTGTCAAGTTTTGTGAGGTGCTAAGAAGGATTGAGAGATTGATCATCTTTTATTGGATACGATGGCAGTGGTGATAGTTTTATTTGGACATGCAAATAAAGAGAATAAAGAAAAGGAAAAAGAAGAAAAGAAGGAGGAAAAGAAAGAAAAAAAAGAATAAAGTAAAAAAAAGGATAAAAAATAAATAGTTAAACCTAAAATCCTAATCGTTTGTTTTAATTTAGGAGTGAGGGTATTTTGTAATTTTATAAAGCCATATTGGTCGAAAATAAGGCCATCAACGACAAAGTGTTTTTTTAATTATTGGATCATATCAACATCATGTATGAAAAACGTGCTTGGAATTCGGTCAATAAGATTCGTCAACTTGATTATAAAATAAAAAATAGTTATGATACTTGAATTGAAAAAAACATGAAATTGGAGTACCAATCAACATTTGAACAAATTATACAAGATACTATCGAACCAATTAGCCTTAAGTATTTTACATAATTCATTGTGCACCCATTTATGCAAATGATCAAAACTCGTGTGTGTGTGTGTGTGTGTGCAGCAACAAATTATTACGAAATCTTAATATTTTTCCTCTAACATTTTCATCGATATCCTGTGAAGAATGTAAAATAACTAAAATTATCACGAGTTCAAGACTATTAAAGTTGCATCATTGGAAAAGAATGCATAGATTCTATGCAAAGTTGAGATGATAAATTCCATTTTTCTATTGAATGAAAGGTGTAATTTACCAATAAACAAGAACATAATGAGTATTGCGGAGGAAAATAATAGTAGAAATACGGATGAAAAGGGCAAGCAAGGCATGTGATTTTCTAGGGTAACCATAGTATTGCCTTTAATTAGTAGAAGAGGTACACTCGAACATCTTTAATCTAAAAAAAATGATCTCCTTGAGTTAAATTGTTTTTAAATTACAAGTTAATAAAAAATTCCAAAAATAATCCCTTCTAACTAGGGGTGAGCAAACGGTTAAACGGTTCGGTTTTGCATAATTCGGTTTGGTTTTCGATTAACCGAATTAAGAAAAATCAAAACCAAAATAAGTTCGTTAAATTTGGTTTAAAATCAAATTATTTCGGTTCGGTTTCATAAAATTTTGATTTTAATCAAAATATTTTACTAAAAAAAAAAGAAGTCGCATCAACCAAGCGGGTAACTAACTTCATTCAACGAGTTGGAAATACTATTATGAACTGGGAAATTTTGGTGCCTATTTAGAAATTGAATATCCAAAAATATATGGGAAAGAACATAGAACTTGTGTGGAAAATAAGGTAGGGAGGTTGTCAAAGCCTAATGAACTAAACAAATATTGGCCGCCTATAAGAGCCAACGGAAATAAATGGATGGAAAAAAAATTATACTATAAAGCCTAAAACATAAAATACTTGTACTTTGGTTGAAACAAATCTAAAACTTATCTAGAACTCATATTATTTGATAGAATTTTCAAAAATTTTCTTTTTGAGTATCACAAATTTCCTTCACTTATATGATTTGAAAATTTACCTTTTTTTATTAGTTTCTTATTAGTCAAATGCCATTGTAACCATTCTATATTTACCATTTGCTTTTTTCATACTACATCTTTTAAGCATCTATATTTACCGCATTTCTAGGTTAGACAAATAGAACCTAACAATGGTCGGATAGAAAACATAACATTTCTACCTCCAGAGAACATACTCACATGCTAAGCAATTCAAAATTTAATCTGTTTGCCTCATTCAAAAAATGCTCCAAATCAAACATAATGAAAATGTTTACGGATTGAATAACCCATCCACGAGTCATTCACGTAAACCACCTAGCAATATCAAAATAATGCTATGTAAAACCAAGTAAACAACATTACACTAGAAAGTGAAAATCAAACTTAACAACACCAAACTACTTAACAACATACGAGAATGCTATTAACTATTCCCATTGATCTTGAAATTATCAAATCAATTGGTAATGCATCTATTATTTTTCATACATCATTTAGAGTTTCTCCATAAAAACAAAGAAAGGAACTCGGGATAGCATTCAAGGACTTCAAATCTTCATAGAGTAAAAATGGCAAGCATCTACATAGATGAAAGAGAAACATAGATTGCCTCGAAGACGGAATTTTCGAGCGATTCTTAAATTTATCATCATTCAAGCACACAGTGTGACGAACAACTTAAGATATTAGGCAACCCTACAATCTTTTACAATTCTACCTCTTTTTGAAACCCACCCAATAATGTATCGATGAGAAATCCTTGAGCCAACTTGGGGCTACAAACTATTCATCACAAAAAGCAAAAAGCATGATCTACACATGTCATGTCACTGGACAACATAAAATCAAATGGATTTTTAACGAACTCCAAACTTGTAACAAGTCATTAGAGTTTCAAGACCACCATCTATCCACTTCATTAATCTTAGAAGAGGTATTGATGTCTCAAACTTCTCGCTAAAAGAAAACTATAAGCAATGGCATTACAAGCTTAGGACACTTGAATATATTCTTCATAAGAAACTCCAACACAATAAACCGATTGTTGAATTTTTGTTAACATTTTTTCCAACCTTCTTTCATTTCATACTACGGGGTGTCCTATTAAGTCACCCCTTGTCACACTTCACACTTTCCGGACATCCACCCATGTGGTCTATCTCTATCAACGACATTCATGCACCGGTTACCTACTTTGTATCTAAATTCATTATGCCAATTAAGAAAACTTTAAAAAAGAAATTTTATACTAATGAAGCAAAGACAAGGTCAACGAGATGAAAGCCCACTTAAAAAAATGAAGAAAATATTAACTCCAAATAACGAATATAAAATAATAGTTTAAGAAAGATATCGCGCAAACATACCCGAACTTCCAATAAAATTGGAGTACCCTCCCATTTAGCCCGAACAACAACTTCAATGTTTTTAGGTCTTCGATTCTCTCCACAAGAAACCGAACCAAACCCAAAAAAGCTTACACAAACTAGAATGATCAAAACATAAAAATTGGATCTAAAACGGTTCTCCATTATCGGATCTTTTAAACATACACGGGTTTAAGAAGATCCAACATTACTAGTGCGAGAGAGAGTGTGTCTATGTGTTATAATGGTAGTAATAAATGGAGTAATAATTAATGGATTTTCTAAGGCAAGCGAAGGAAAACGAGAGAGGTAGAGAGAGATCGAAAGAGTCGGCTTCCGAAGGAGACGAAAGAGGAGACGAGACGACTTTGGTACGAGACGAGTAGTGGACAAGCCGGTCTTAGGGTTAGTGATTTAGATTAGGAATTAGGAATTTTTTATAGCTATGAATTTCGATTTTCGGTTGAAATCGATTTTTTTTTCAAAACCGAATCGAACCAAAATAATTTCGATTTTTTCGATTGAGTTTTAAATTTTACAAATTTAAATTTAAAATCCAATCAAAATATATAATTCGAGTTTGGTTTTATTCGATTTTCAATTAACCGAACCGTTTGCACACCCCTACCTTTAACTCCTAAAATTCTCTTTCCACTAGAGAATCTTAAAAACCTAACATTTCGAATCCGATCACAGCATCAAAAAAGTTAGATTCGGATAAAGAATTGAACACTCGAACACATTACGGATTCATATCAACTTGAGAATGAATTAAACTACAAGAAAGTTATAACAAATATGAAAGGGAAAGAGACAGATTCAACATCAATCTTCAAATAGCATTCTCTCAAAGATAGTAAAGTCGTAAAAAATAGAGATTATTGTGATAGAGAAAGACCGGGTTTGGTATATTGAACTATTTGAATCACCCAAAGATTGCCTAAAAAAACCATGAGAACTCTTTGTAGTGGTCAAAGTAGCCAATCCATATAGGGGCAATAAATATAAAACATAATTATTTTTTTGGTGTAATTCTATACTAAAAGCTTATTACTTACATGCCTTTGTAATAGGAGACCCATAGTCAATCCTTGGTCATTGCTTGATGATTCAATCCTAGGATCACAATTTCAAAACCTCTAAGAACATAATCGAACGAGCAAGTGGTTTACAATGTTGAAGCCACGTTCATCGCTATAAGGGCTGGGCCCCCTCCAAGTTTTTTTTCCTAATAACCAAAAAAATAGTAGGAAAATTTTGAGAGTGTTGAGTGTTTGAAAAATAGTTTGCCAATAGGGATGATAAGTACCTATAAGTTCCTACCACTAGTGTATTGTATAATAATTTTTTTTTACTTCCACTAGTGCATTGTATAATGACGTTTCTATCAACTAATATTATAATATATTTACATTTTTTATGGCTCGTATTAAATTTTATCATCCGTAGGATCCTTTTGTGATTGGTTTAAATAGTAAAAAAAAAACTTATTTGGTTTAAAGTTTCATGTTTGTATGTCTTCTAATCATTAATTTGATGTCTTTAGTGAAATAATATATCTATATTCAATTAGTTTTTAATTTAAAAACATCAAATGACCTATTAAAATCATAGGGAGCCTTTAAGAAAAAACCCTAGCTGGAAGCTCTCGCGACCATAGACAACATGAGATCACAATAGAGTCCTTGGGTCTTACATTTCCCCTATGAGGAAACTACTTCCCTTCTCCCTTTAGCTTTTAACCCAACACTTACCCCAACCAACACGTCTCCCATTTAGACCACGTCCGAAACCATATACTCTAATAGAATAATAAACCTAAAACCTTTTACCCAGCTATTATAGCACCTCGCTTGTAACCTAAACACCGGTTCCTTTCCCTCTCCGTCATGCCCAAACCACCTTCTCGTATGAAGGGGAGCCCGTTATGCATTTCTCGATGGTTGATCTATAATAATCTTTGAGCTTGTTTGAACAATCACTTGTGGCTAAATTCTCTTGGAGCATACCCTCTATTAACACCATTAGATCACACATCCAAGCAACATTAGGGGCTTGCAAAAATCCCAACGGTTGGATTGCTTGGATCCAAGATATGTGTTAGTAAGAATTTTCAGTAGAGAAGATTTTATTAAAGTTTGGTCACAAAATAATCATCTCATTGAGAACTTCTTATTTAGATTATTTAAGTAGGATGACACTTTCACCACTAGATTTGAATCCTCACGAGCTACAATATGGCTAAAGCTACACGGGCTCCCCTTTCTTTCTTTCCTTCAACCTTTCTTAATAAAATAAGTTTGCCTAATTAGAACTTTCCTTTGTCCAAATATGTGAACAAAGAATGGTTCTTATGCATGCCAGGATCTTCGTGGAAGTTGACCTTACAGTGAGATGTGAAAATTAGAAGCTAGTCCATTATTTTTCTTGATAATACGGGAATATATATTTTTGATGTTTTAATAAGGGTAACTTGAAGGATGGAAGAATACTCCATCATGATTTTTGTTATACGTGAATTGAAGGTTCGTCCTTTTTTTTTTAATCATGTTATGTTCTATAATACTCATTAATTAGTTATACTTTATATAAAAATAGTTTTAGTTGGTTATGAAGTATAAATTATAAATGATTTCTATTTAAGAGTTAGTTTTACTCTCATTATATGAATCAAATACACCAAATAATGTTATAAATTAATTATGCCATTGATTCTTATGAATTTCTTATGAATATATATTTATATTAATCATTATTTTTCACTAATAAAGTGTAAAATATGAAATTTATTGAAGAAAATATAAAATTTTTAATTTAGCAAAAATCGTATCATAACATCCAACAATTATGGATAGAATAATAAAATTATGGTAAGATTACTTACAAAAAATTTAAGAATTAGATTAAAAACTTAAATGATATAGAAGTCATTCCATGAAATTACCACACATGGTGTGTGGATTCTTAATTAACCAATCGTTTGCCTTTTTTTCCCTACAAAACTAATCATTTGCTAATCTCATGTACGAATTACCAATGTAGGAGAAAGTACTCGGATATAAATGAAATGAAACAAGTGCAATAACAATTAGTATATTAAAATAGCTATCATTATACCATTAACACTTGTAATCAACAAGATCATAATGATTTAACAATTATTGTCACAATTACTCAAATATTATCCTTTTAGTTATATCATCGCCACCACCATCCTTGTTATCAAAATAACTATTATTAGAAAAACAATTGACCAAAAAATGTATCCTTGTTACTAAAATAATTATTCTTGATCGGAACCACACTTTTTGTAAAAAAAAACTTTTATAATCCAAGATTACTTATTTCTTGGCTATTAGGATCACGTAACATTAGTTCCTAAGATTCGAGAACCAAAATTAGCTTATTATCCTTACAAATCCCAACGAGAAACCAATTAACATCTAAAAGAGGACTAATAGAGAATATATATATTTTTTTTGCCCAACACCTCTAGTTCAAAGTCCACATATAAAGATCAAGCTTCTACTAGACAACAAACAAAGCAATGGAGTCATAATAAATTACAAGACTCGACAATTATATGATATGTTAACTTTATCTTTAGACATACATATGTATACATGTCAAAAGAATCATCACTTTAAGATCAATTCCAAATGATGCCAACTATTAAAATTCATGCTTCCTTCATTCAAACAAATGTAACAATTATTAAAAATCCAAGTAATAATAACGTGCCAAATCTCCTCCATATCTCGGAGAATCAATACTTAAATGAGTATCCGAAGACTACTTTTTTCGTCAAAACCATAATCTTTAATAACAATCACCTTGTAATCTTATCTTTAGATACTCGGATCTAATCCAAAACCATAAGTGTCATCTCAAACATCTACAACATAACGTATGTTGAATGGTTTAGTTATTATTAATTGATCAAAAGATAAAAGTTCTCCAACTTAGGTTATGTAATACTGAATAAGTAGACAATCATTATTACATTGTTGTAGTAATTTTTTAGATGTTTAGAGATAAAATTGTGATTTCTAATAATAACATAGCACGATTTGCAAACACATTTGAATTGCAATAGAGTTTTCATCCGTAATTATAATAGAAGAGTGAAAGTCATCTCGTATTCTTGTATTATCCAATATGATTTATTTTAACTCTTTTATCCAATTATGATACAAAACAAATTTTATACTACTAAACATTACCCATGAATGTTTTGACAAGCAAATGGATGTTCAGCCTAGAGTGGCTAAGTCGACGATAGCATTTGCGAGTGTTGACGATGATGGGATAAGAGGTTAGGATATGCTTTTGTGTGATGATAAAAGCATTTGTTAGCCTTTAGGCTTGTTGTTGTAATTGGAGAAAGCTACCTAGTTGGGCACTTAGACTAGTAAAGCCTTTTCTAGTACCTTGGTTTGGTGTCTCCTAGTTTCAATTATAAAAAAATACTTAAAGATTGTATGAAGAATTGAGAAACTGACTTTTAAAAAATTTTTCTTAGATAATTCCACTAATGAGGTATGGATCCTCAATTGATGATGTGTATAGTGATGTGGGCTTTATTTGGTTAGTGAAAGCTTAGAAGAGATCACATTGGCTATTATAAGCAAACTGGTTGTGGTATTTATAAAAAAAATCCTCATTAATGTTTGAAAAGACTCTTTGATAACTAAATTAGCTTTGAAGAATGGTGTTGATTTGAATATGGTTGAGAAATACGACCAATATCTAGAACATAGTGAACAATAGTTATAAGTTTGGAAAATCTAGAACTTGGAAGTTTAAGAATCTTGTAGTATATATAGACGTGGGCTATGAAGGTTACATAAAAAGGAGTGACAAAATGGTCTATTCTTTTGATACCATAAGTAGCTATACACTTGATTGACAAATACTTGATATTGAGAGGAATTGTTTTGAAAGAATGTGGTGGCTCCATGATTATTGATAATCGGATAGAGTTAATCCTATTTGCCTACTCTTATTGATAGATGATTGATCTATTCTTTCTTATTGATGGAATTAGGATAAATAGTCCGAATTTGCTATCCGGTCGAAACAGTCTAGAATTCCCTCCAAAGATATCCTAAAAAGATTGTAGTCTTGTACGTGACTCGAGGGATCCTAATATTATCTAATATCTTATATAGTGGGTTTTACTATAGCACATTATAGATTTCATAATGGTGCATATCATCCGTACATATCAATTTCAAAATGCAACTAAATCACTTCAATAAAAATGACAAATATGAAAATTGAAATAGATAACAAACTTGGATTAGATTGCATAATCAATCTCTACAAACCTTGTTTTAGAAGTATATTCATTCTTCATCCGCATATATTTAAATATTTTGTTTCTCTAACTCACCATATCAAGATGCTTAAAAAATACAATTATATATAAATGTTAATAAGAAATTTTGAAATGTTTGTGTCCGTGTGTGTATATATATCGTGACCTACACTAAAATGCAAATAAAACTCAATAAACCTCTAACCTATCTAGGCATAGACACATCTCTTCCTACACCTTTCTTTTCTATCACTAACTTTACTATTTGAATTATTATGTAATCAATTATCCTAAATTAAGTAGGAAACCTAATTGTTTCTCTTTTCGTGTTAAACATCTATTCTATGAAGTGTGACATGTCAAAAATTATCATTGTGATGACTAGATTCCATGAAATTCAATATAAATTAGAATTAAAGCGAGATACTAAAGAGAAATTTAATTATGAAGAAAAAGATAGAAACTCATGTAACTTGATGAGATCGTGATTCTCAAATTAATATTAATGATAAATGGTTTTTAACCCTAGTTGATTGTGTGGTCAACGTAGTTCATTATAAGAGAGACAAGTACTTGCAAAATAAGTCATTTTGTAATATTTAAAAGACCCTCAAATGGCTAAGTTATTGTAAAAAGAGAGGTGTTTGACTTGTATAGGCATGATAGTAGTTTTAGCTCTTGGTAATAAAAGATATATGATACTATATAAATTAGAAAGCTTATAAGTTAGAATCAGTAACACAAAATGTTAATTAATCTTTATATAATAAAGGAAATGATCAACTTATATGGAGTGGAGGGTAAGTCGATATTTTTTCTTATGTATAACCACCTTTGATATCTATCCGTAAGTTAAATTTTTTTTAGATGAATGTCTTAAATTATTAATGCATTTACAATTATATTTGGTGATAACATGACAAAAAAATCATGCTCTCAATAGATGCATATCGCTTATATGTAGCAAATAATAGGTAGAATTTTGCCTGTGTCATATGTTTACGTTGTATATTCGGGGTTTGTCTAATTGTAAATTCTTTGTCTATGTAGCAACTTTGTTTTTGGTTCTAATGAAGGTCGGGTGGGTGTAAGATCATTACAAAAAAAAAAAAAAAAAGAACAAAAGAAAAAAAAAAGAGGTCCAATAATTGTGAAACATGCATTTATTTGATTGATTTTGAAATAGGTACTGAATGATGAATTTATATAGGTATGTCATAACTCATACAAAGAAAAAAATAAAAAAGAACCAAAAGGAGTAACTCGTAAAAAATTACATGCATCCAAGTCCAAAGAATGGTTTTTTCAAGAAGAGATCATTTAATGAGATCTAGGATTCCAAAATCTCAAAAAAAAAAAAAAAACAAAAACAAAAACAAAAAACAAAAAACAAAACAAAACAAAACAAAAAATAAAAAATAAAAAAAAAACAAAAAAAAAAACAAAAAAAAAAACAAAAACAAAAATTGTTCTGTTTTGTTCGATTTTTTTGTCCAATACAACAATCCAAGCAATCTAATAAAAATCATCCTAAGCTACTTTCTTTTCATACATAGATAGCATGCTATTGATGTACTTTGTTATCATAGATAGATAGATAAATAGATGGATTAGCATTCTATTGATGAAAAAGAAATGGATATAGTTTTAATTAGTTGAATACCCGCGTTACTGTCGCGGTCAAATAATCATTATATACATAAAGTCATCGATTCATATGATATAGTATAGATAAAAATCTTACTTCTTGTAATTCATATAAATCAAATTTATTTGCTGAGCAAAATCATTTGATTTATATATATTTATTAATAAAATAATCAATAATATTAGTATAAAAAATTATATTTGAATAATTGAAAGGTTCTTCAAAAACATTATTTCAATTATTTTATTTAAAAAATATTGATTTTAGAACATAAAAAGGAATAAATAATAAATAATTGATGTTATGCATGCAAATATATAATTAATTTTCAATATATATAATATCATCATATTCGGTAGATTCAGAATATATAGTATAAATAATTTTTTTTAAAAAAAAAACCATCTAAGTCTGTATGGAATATATTAAAATTAATAAATTGAAATAAAAACTATTGCAAAATTGGTTTTCATAAATTCTTAATTTATGATGAAAGAGATTCTTGAATTGTAAATTAAATTATAAATTAGTTCATCTCATTTTGAGAAATGAATTAATTTATTCTTTTGGTTTCAAAAATATATATTTTTTAATTTTTTAACCAGATATTAATCATGAATAATTTATTTTTTTATTTTATAAATTTATTTTTCATATTTTTTTTATTTTTTTCTAAGATCATTTGTTTTAATCTTCCAATTTACTATTTTCTTAATTCTACATGGTGGTTCTAAAAAAGTAAAAAGAAATGAGTCTTTAGTTACCATTTTTATGAATCATTGAAATTTATTTGCACCTCTCTTTTCAATTCCTTATCTCAAAAACCATCTTTACCTCCCTCTCCTATATTTATTTTTTTATTTTTCTCATTTCTGTTTTCACCCACATTAATCTACACAATTACCTAGGAACGAATAAGGATCACTAAAACAACTCAACATAGGATTTTATGGTCTCTTTATACAATACTAAGATACTTTTGATGGGATGAAATAATTTTTTTTAAAAAATAAAATGTTTTTTTTTCATATTTTACTTTTTTTTTCTATTTCTTAAAACAAAAAATAAAAATAGTAAAATGATAAAAAGGACAAAAAAATTAATTTTCAAACCAAAGAGACTAATTAATTTATTTCTCAAAAAATTATTATTTTTTTATTTCTTAAAACAAAAAATAAAAATAGTAAAATGGTAAAAAAGATAAAAAAAATTAATTTCCAAACCAAATGGACTAATTAGTTTATTTTTCAAAGAAAAAGGGACCAAGAAACAAAGAAATATATGAACATTGACATTGGGTGAGGAACTACAGTAAGTGAACAGTCTCACTTGACTTCTTTTAGTTTTTTTTTGTTTTTTTAATAGGTTGAGGTAATTAATTTTAATAATGATGGTTGATGATATATTTTTTTTCTGTTGATTTTTTAAATATAAATTTTAGAGATAATATTGATAAAACTTTATTAATTTTTTTATAATGCTTAAATTGATATAAAAAATGTATTCTCAAAACTCGAAAGAAAAATTAGTTTTTATTGACATTCAAATTAGTTGGAAAATATCTTTATAAACAAATAAAAAAGAAAAAAAGAAAAATTGGTTCCATTTGAGTTTGATTCATTAATTGCAAGGGAAAATTAATGTTTCACATTCAAGTATTCAACTACAGGACGATAATTACCAGTTAGATTGTTTTTGATTTTCTGAAGTTATTTTAGAAAAAGAAAAGAACAGAAAAGAAAAGAAAATGATCTAGCAAACTGTTCCGAAGTTTAAAATCTTGTTAGATAATTAAGAATCCATTACTCATCCTAAATTGCAAATTATGATCTTAAATGAATTTAATTACAGACTTGTAATCCTACTAGTCGTTTACCATCTACATCATCAATTAAATAATCAATTAATTAAACTTTGGATCTCCCATCAGAAAATTAAGTAATCACCCAGAAAGCATAGGTGCCCCAGAAAGCCAAAAATCCTCGATGTCCTGACAAGAAGTTCGAAGGTTTTTTCTCCTCATGGTACTTGTACAATCCTCAAAACTCTCTCTTCCTCCTTCTCTTCCACCTACAAAATCCGTTCTTTTTGAACCAAACTCTCTTTCTTTAGCTTTAATGCACACTGATTCCTCTATTTCTCTCTTTCCTTCTCTTCTCTTTCCTGCCCTTTCTTCTCTCCCTCCAAAACCCCAAACCCTAGTCCCCTCCTCTTCCTCTTCCTCGTCTTTCCTTCTCATCCACCATGACCCTAACCCTAACCCTAAAGTCCTTTTTCTTGCTGCTAGCCCATATAAGGGTGGGTCCCAGATTCTCTTAAGGTTCTATGTTTTACAAAAAGACAACATTTTTTATAAACCCCAAGTTGTTTGCCATCAAAAGGGTCTTGTTTTTGATTCAAAACTTGGTGTTTTATTGGATTTAAATCATGGGGTTTCTATAAAGATTGTTGGGTCTGTTAATTTTTTTGTGTTGCATTCAGTTTCTAGCAAGAAAGTTTGGGTCTTTGCATTGAAACTTATTGATGACGGTGATGGTGAGATGGTGAAATTAATGAGATGTGCTGTAATTGAGTGTACTGTGCCCGTATGGTCAATTAGTGTTTCTTGTGGAGTTTTGATTTTGGGGGAGAATTATGGGGTCAGGGTTTTTAATTTGAGGCAGCTGGTGAAAGGGAAAGCTAAGAAAGTCAAGGGTTTTAATTCAAATGGGAAGTTGGATGGTAAAGGATTGAAATTACCAAATGGGGTTGTGGGGGATGATTATTGTCGCGGTTCAAGTTCTGGGAATGCTTGCAATGGTGCATTGGATGGGAAGGCTGATAAGCATTGTGTTTCTGGTAAGTGTGCAAGTGCAATGTGTTGCTTTTGAGCTCTTTTAATGTTCATGATGTGCTTAAATTTTTTTTTTTTTTTCGTTAGTGTTGAAGTAGTGTAAATAAATGTGATTGTTGAGCTTTTTGGTATATAGAAATTAGCAATTGAGACGTTTGCAATGTGAATTCTGTAGTGCTGTTATTCTTGTCACGTGTATTTAAACTCTGTCTGTTTTAGTTTATAAGATCCCTTTTGAAGTTGGAGCAAAGTTACTTCTGTTTAACCTGGACTATTATTGGGTTCACAAAGGTAGTCTATTGTCCTGCCAGAATTTTCGTTCTTCTAAATTGGGGAATTTTCCATTAGCTTAGGATTCAATGGTTCGTGAATGTGATAGGTGTAACTCGATCGCAGATTCAAGGACTATTGTTTTAATATGGGACCAAGATTTCCAACAGAATTGCTTATATTGTGTTATAGGTCTAAAGGTGGTACAATTTTAAATCCAAACATAATTTCCAAGGCAAGCACCATTTGTTTGTGTTGGATAGGAGGTAAGAATATCCTAGACAATAAAATTCCTAATAAATGCTAATTCACAACAGAACTCTTAATTAATACCGTAAACATTATCCATGCTCCATTTTTGGTTTTTGTTGAACTTTGTCATTCAATTGCATTTATTGCTTTATTGAATTGCCTTGGTGACCGAGTTTTGTTTGTGGATTGGTATCTTCCTACCTTTGTAACATATTTATCCCATCATTATGGTTTTCATTATCTATCCATTTCCAATTTGCTCTGAGAGATTGTTTTTAGGAATTTCTGTTTGACCAGGAAATGGATGAACTCATATTAAGCAAGGTGCTGTCCTATGGTTAGATTCCTAAGGATGCCTCTAGATGGTAAATCACTGTTATTAGTAACATGTCTTTAATTAGGGGCTCTCTCTTCTGTTTTTGTCTCTGGCTAGTAATGGTTGCTGAACCTTTTCTTCTGTGTTTGATAGCTTTTCAGAAGATCAATTGTGGTGCCTGTGGAATTTAACTTTCTTATCTCGACATAGAACTGAAGTTGTTTCCAAATATTGTTTTCTTTTGTTCCTAAAAATGTTTGTGTTGTTGTCTGATGACACTGATTTGCATTTTAACTTACAGTAAAGCAGAGATCTGTAAGATGCAGTCAAGACTCTGGTGAAGAGGGTGCTTGTTTTGTGGCTTTTAAGAGGGAGGAGGTTGAGGGCTTGAAACCTACAACTTTGAAGGCAGTTTCTATCCAGGCATTGTCTCCCAAAAAAATTGTGATTTTGGACTCTATGGGAGATTTGCATATCTTGTGCCTGTCTGCACCTGTTGTTGGATCAAATGTCATGGCTCACATGAGGCGGTTGCCTCATAGCATGAAAGTGCAAAAGCTGGCTGTTCTTCCAGATATTTCCTCGAGTATCCTATTCTAATTCTCCCTCTCTTTTTTTTTCCACTAAATTGTGATGTTGCTTGCATGTTCAACAATGGTTTTGTGATCAAAATGTTTGTAGGATCTTACAAAAAGGTGATCCCAGGATGATTTATTTCATGTTGAACCAATAGTTATAGGAATTGAAAACTCGTGTGTTGATAAGGGAAAACTAACTTATGTCTGGGTGGTTAAGGTGACTCAGTAAAATAAAATGGAAACAAAAATTCACGATGAGTTTGGTAAAAGGATGACATTTTGATTTTACTTATTTTGTTTATATAATGCCCATTTGGCCTCTGTTTCATTGGAAAAAAAAAAACATTTTCTTGGTCTTGGTTTATATATGTCTGTATATTCTTCAACTGTGTGAGTCATTGCTTTGCAGAAATGCAAACTTTTTGGGTATCAGATGGTCTCCATTCTGTGCACACGATAACTCTATCCGACATGGATGCTGCTGTTAATACAAATGATGGAGATGAGACCCAGGAAAAGTTCATTCAGATCACAGGTTTCTTTAATCTGCTTTATAGAGGCTTAGTTTTTCAAATTATAACTTCATATGCTGTGTCTTTGTATTGATATTCGGGCTCACCCTGGGTTAAGGAGATCTCTGGCAGCTGTTCTCAAATCCTGACGTTGAAGTTATCTAAACTATATCTTTTTTATTTATCTGGTAGTTATTCAAGCAATTCTTTCTGCACAAAAGATACTAGATCTTATACCTTTGGGTGCAAATGGTATTTTGATTCTTGGACAAGGTAACTTTTTTCTTTCTTCAGTCCAAGTTGTTGTTTTGCTTAAGTACCACACACTAGTAGAACATAAAATGAAAAAGAAGATACTACAAACGCTCACTTTTGAACTATATATTTTGCTCAGCTAAAAAAAAAAAAAAAAAAACACAAAAGGAAGGAAGATGTAAGAAATGACAATATATCATTATCGTTTATTTTGTTTTTTGGCATATGCTTGGTGGCCTTGAAAACGAAGTTTACCATGTAAATCGTGCTCTTTCATGGTAAGCCGAAATCTTGTGAAATGTAAAGAATCACTGAACAAGATTTATGATTTCTTCCTGTACAATTCTTATTTTCCACTATACTATTTATCCAAGTTTTAAATTCCACAGTAGTGCATGCAATTAAGAATAATAAAGGTTTTTGGAAAATAGTTGAACTGTACCTTTTTCCTTCACTTTATTTTAAATTCAAGTAACCGAATGGAATTTAATGTTTTTCTTTTTCTTGAGCAGGAAATATATATTCATATGCAATTCCCTGAAGTTGCTTGGCACTTGGAACTTATCTATCTTTTGGTGGTGAGGATCTTATTACTTTTCTTCTATCTTAAATCTTGTTTTCTTTCTGCCATGTTCTAACCATCTAAGTGGAATGTTGTGTAGGAAATTTATGCTCCAGATCATGATAGATATTTTTCACGCTTATAGTGGTTTCCTGATCAATGTTCTTAAACAGTAAGTATTAATATTATTATTTTTCATTAAAGTGGTTCTCTAGTTAACTTATAATCTAGTCAATCTTACCACAGGGATCTGACCGATCATCTTTCCTGAATTTCTGTTGACCACCTTGCGTTCTCTCTGATTACCTTGGTTTTTCTCATCTTTGTGTTGCTGAAGTCATGAGCTGTGGTTGTTTCTTGTGTATAGTGGTGCACAAGAACACAAAGACACTGAGCTTGTGAAGGTATGTAACGTTATATGTTTTTCGTCACAATATAATTTCTATGCCAAGTTTTATGGATACAAATTAAAAATAAAACTATCAGAGAAAACTGCCACTGTATAGTCTCAGGCTGGAAGATTTTGGACTGGGAAAATTTTCTTTTGAGTTGAGAATTTCATTGAGAATCATCTCAGAATGTCACATTTTGCATGCCAAATGAATGGGGATCAGTTCTCTTTTTGTTTATTGTATATCGTTTAACAGGGTTTTTGCAGCAGCTAATAGTGACTTGTTATGCATGATAATTACATTTTTAAGTGTTGTACTTCATAGTAACTGTAAATTGGTTCCTTTTTTTTTTTTTTTTTTTCACTAGCTAGGTTGATATTCTAGAAAATTTTGAGTGTATGGCTGGGGTTTTTTGTTTATTAGGGGGACTTGTCTGTCTTTTATGATCGGGCACTGGGATATGCTTAATATGGCAATTAGCACGAAAAAATGTCTTTCATGTGTCTTCCTAAGAAGCTTAGACTTCTGTAGTGACAGAATAATGACTTAAAAATTGCTGAAATTTTTAATTATTAATTGTTGACGAATGTATTGACTTGGGTTTTCAAAGATGTGGTATTCTTAATACTTAGAGAAGGTAGAGAGAGCTGTGGTATTAGCAACAGTTATGTTAGCTGAGGTTGTTATTTAAAATTGATTTATTACATAAATGTTGCATGAAGCAGAAAAAATACTGCTTGGGTGGTCTTCCCTTTTTGGAAGAGTCCTATTTCATACTAAGGCAACTGAAGTTAACACAATTAGAGAAGCTTACTGTGAAGGTGCATGGGGCCTCTAGTTAACTGGTACCTTCACTCCTGGTTGATGAGGGAGTTGAAGGCTGGACTCACAGAGAGTTGCTCATTTATGGGGTTTTCTTTTTCCAAGGCTACAAAGGTGCTTGTAGCATCTTGATGGGTTCATTGGCCCAGAGCAACTGCATATTATCATATGACTTAGTGTGAAATGGTTCACTTTTGTGAGTCCATCGAGCTTGTTTCAGCTGGTCTATGGAGTAGAGTGGGATTATCCTATTCTCAACTCTATTGCTGGACATTTCATTGATTTGTTTCCCTGTTTCATTTGCATCTCATGATTGACGTCATCTGATTTTATTTAACCCTATATTTCATGGCAAAATCAGAACCAACTTGTCCTGGATCTTGAAAATGGACTCTCTTCGGCAACTGAAAGCCACATCTGCACAGCCAGCTATCTTGAGTTGAAAATGCTTAGCTGCAGATACAATGATTTAGCTGTTTTGTCCTCTGGAGTTTGCTTCATATCTTATGCTGTTGAGCTGAAGACCGAACAAACAGTGAATTGAATGTTATGAAGCGAGACAGCTTGGCTTGCTGTTCTTTTGCAAGATAGAACTCCCTTTTATAACCCCAGTATCAACATTTATATGGGGTGGGGTTGCCCATGGAGGCATGTGGCTCCATCTTTTCTTGTGATTTTGATTTTTCCTGATTTAAGTGTGAGTTAAGTTTTTGTGGTTGTTTTTGGATGAAAGACCTTACATTCAGTGAACATTTTCTTATAATATTAGCAGTCATAGCAGTCATTACAATCTTGAATGTGTCACGAGATGGGTTTTCCTTTCAGATCAAGAAGAGATCCCCAGAGAAGGAATATGATAAAATAGTTGCAAGTCATTATCCACCCCATTAACAGAACAGAAATCACTGTATTTTTTGAAATGAAGTGCAGAATGAATTTGACCGCAGAACTGAAAATTTAGAATACGGCAGTATTTTACTAATAATTAGTGTTGTGGGACACCTGAATTATTGTCGTAAGAGAGAATATTTTCTTGCTGACTGGTGAAAAGGCCTGAATAGTGCTTCCATGTCTGGATCTGCAAGATTTGCTTAGGGATCAAAATGATTGTAGGCTTAACATAAAAGGGGTTGAGCTGTGGGAGTGGGATGCCATTCGTTTTCTTTTTCCTCTCCTTTTGGTCTATCAGGAGGCGTTAAAGGGCATTTTCTTGCAATGATATGAAATGTACGTATCTCAAGATTCGGAATCTGTTCTTGTCGTGGGCCTTTGGCCGGAGGTAGACCATCTATTTCAAAACAAAAGCAATAATTGAAGATAAAAGAATGGATATCGGAATTCACAAGTTCTATTAAAGATTTGGGATAAAAGATATTACATATCTCCTTTGAAATTAAATGAAGCAGAAGATGGACCAAAATCTACTGGCAACCACAACAACCCATCCCTGCCAATTGAAACCTACGTTGTATGCACATGCACATAAGACAAAGCTAATATGGCCATGATGAGTCCCGGCAAGGGACCCTTCTACTCCTTTGATAGGAGGACCCCCCCCCCCTCTTCCGTTCAATTTCGAGAGATAATGATGACAACCACATGGCATGCAGCTTCACATGCACATGGACATGGCCATGCGCAACCACAAAGACATTCTCATTCTTTTCTATGCACTCCTCCTTTTTCCTCCGTCAAAACGCCATTGAAAGGGACACAACAGTGGTATCTCGTTATATCAAAACCATATCAACTTGTAAAAGTAAAACGCCCATCTACCATGGAGCTCCTCTACATGTCAAAAATCACATCAATTAGATGAAAGATCATATGGGATCTAGCCGTCCAATTCAGACATTTTAACCTAAATTTTGCATCGGCTAGTATAATACTCTTCATGAACGTAAATTGGGAAGAAAAATATGTTGAATCAAGGTCCTTTTTAAGCCGTTTTTGTCCGGTTTAGGTAGTATGGAGATATACTTTTTAAGCACTTTTTTCGTTTTTTTTGTTTTTTTTTTTTTTTTGAGGTCTTAGACTATATAATGGAATAATTTTCTTTTATTGTATAATTATATTCATTAGAACTTGAATTCTACTTTATTAAAAAAAAAACTATCAAAAATTATAACTGTTAAATTAATAAAACTTGATATTCCGCTAGATAAAAAGATTGCAGCATCGACTACCGCTTACAATACATGGTATGAAATCTTTCATCTGTGTCACAAAAAAGAAACAAAAATGAGTATCATCGGGTCATTGTGGAAGCTGACTATTTGTTAGCAATTCGGTTAGTTAAAGCATCTACAAGCAAGATGGGTTCTTATAATACTTTGGTTATAGCGATTTAGGAGATTCTAGCAAGAAGCTGGCAAATTCATCTGACTCATGATTATAGGGAAGCAAATAGATTGATAGATCGGTTAGCATTTCTTACTTTTGCCTACCTTTTGGTGTCACATATTTTCAGAATAGCAAAAAAAACTACTTCACAAGGACATCAGGGGAATAGCTTTCTTAAGATTTTGTACTAGTTAATCATATTGTTCAGGGCTACGGCTCTCCATCTGATTAAAAGAAGAAGAAGAAGAAAATGCTATTTATTCATTTCAAAAGGGAGGCATTTAAAATTTTGAATATTTGGAGATTCTTCAAACTATATGGTTGTAAAGGAACTGTTAGAACATTAGTCGTATCGACAATATAGTAAATTGTATGAGAATTATTGTAGCTGTTTATTATTTGACCATAATCTTTGGAGAATAAAAAGCAAGGTAATCCTAAAAGTTGAAAACAATAGTATTTCCCTCCCACAAAACAAGTAGGCTTGGCTCATCTGCTTGTGTGGCACAAGGAAATTTCTTACCAGATTCTCACACCAAAACAACCTGCGCCAAGTTGAGATGCAAAAGAAACACAAGTACAACAGCTAGCTAAAGACTTTATAACTAATTACAGCTCTCCATGTTTCAACTTCTGTAATGCAAAGCTCATTTCATTCTTGGGTTCAACGTTAATGGAGCAATCTCCCTACACTATTCCTCAACCAAGAGATGAACCTGAGTTCAATTTAAGAGAATGGGCATTCAAGGCTCAAATCAGCCGTGAAAACACGAGATCAAGGAGGTTTTCAGGATCAAATATCAGAAGTTTTAGAGAAGATGCAAGGTCTTTTAGATCAAACATTACCATTTCTAGCACTGCCTCGTCTCCTGGCTACTCCTTAAGAGGTGGTAGTAGTAGTAGTCTTATCCCTTTTTCTTTTTCTTTTTTTTTTCCCTCCTGTACTTAATTTTCTTGTTTCTTAATTACTACTATCAATTGACTAATCCATCCTATCTTAATATTTTCAGAAGAGATTGACCCTGCAACATACTCATTTACCACAGCTCTTAAAGGTAATTTAGTAGTAACTATGCAAATCATCAATTACGTCGCCGTCATCTACCAGCTTAAGCTTTTGTGTCGCTATTGGTGATTTAAAGGATTTCTAATTGTTCTCTTTTTATGCAGCATTGCAGGCAAGGTCAGGATATTATAACAATTGGGAATGCTTATCACCAGATGGATTTGCTTTAAATTCCAAGTGGAATGAAGCAGAGAAGTATATATGTAATCCACTTTCAGGAGAGGTTCCAATGGAGTGTTTATCAGCTAAAACACTGAGTGGAAGATCATTTCGGAACATAACAAACAGAATTACAATGTCTGCACCTCTTGTTTACTCTAATCATTCGCGGCAAATCCATCCAAAGACTACTACTTCTATTGCTACACATGATGTTATTGTCAACCATTTTCCAATTAAAGGTTATAATTTGAGTACTTGCTGCTGTTTTTCATGCATTAATTTGAAGAAAACAAGATTGTTTTTTTTTTTTTTTTTTTTTTTTTTTTTTTTGACTTGGTTCAGGATTTTTTGTTTGTAGAAAATAAAATGGAGGGCTTGATGAGCAGTACTAGAGATGTTGGGACTCAAAGCACTCCACCTGACCTTAGTTCATCATCAAGTAGTGCTAGTCCAGCTTCAACTCCTTCGATTATAGAGAAAAAGAGATGTGAAATAGAAGGTGGAGATTCACCTAATTGCCATTCAAAGTTGAAGGCTGAAGAACAGGTATGTTTTTTAAGTAATGTCAGTTCATGATGCTCACTATGTTTTACTAGTTCGAAGTTAAATGCTGAAGGACAGGCTTGATTTTCTTGTTAAACTGTTCTGGCTCCTTTGCATTTCTGAATGCTCAAGTTTTGAATGCTCTATTTTACCTCATTAACTGCTACTTCCACTTCCAGAATTTTGATCCTTTTGTATGAATCTGGCCATACATAATTATCTGAATGTATTTCCTGCTTTCCCCTTTTAATCAAGGATAACTTACTTTTATTTTTTGTTCATTAACTATAGATTTATAAAGGTGGGACTCGAATCTAAGACCTCGCTGTTTTTAAAATTTTATGGTAACATGTTGATCGTAAATTTGAATTTATCTCAGCTTACCCTTAGGCACTAGGCTGTCCTCTCAAAACCTACCAATTCCATTTCTTGATAAATATACTACGAATCCATGCACATGAAGCCTGAGGCAATACATGTGAAAAATACCTGCATTCTGGTTTCCCTGAATCTCTTATTTGCAGATTTTTCTAGTATTAGAATGAAAAAGTAGGTTGCAAAATATTGGTGGTGCCTTGCCTTTTGCCATAAATCTACAAGCTGCTTGGCAATGCATTATCATAGTACTTTTTTTCTTTGAATCGATCATGTACTATTGATATAGCAAGTATTTTCAGCATGAGGAATTCCATGGTGGGGGACTAACAATAAGATGAAGTGGTCCTTCCTCCTTTTGTTTGGTGTGGCCACAAGGAACAAGTGTACCAAGTGCAAATAGTATGTTCCAGAATTAGTCGAAAAAGTTTTGCAAGCTCAGTAGTACAAACAATCTTATCTTAGCACTGCCACTGTGGGGGACTAATAATGGATAGTAATTGGTCCATCTAGTAACAATGGGTGTTGTGCCCTAATTGTAAATACAAGATGCCCCAAGTAGCCAGCATTCCAGCACATTCATCTATGGTTTTTCGGAAACATTTTTCTGGCAGAGAAGGCTCTTTCTCCTTTTTTTTTTTTTTAACCTTCAGGACATAGTTTTAAATCACGGATGGTTGAAAAAATAGTTGCGATCGTTATCGCAGACTGCAGCTTACAATAATACTAAAATAACAATAACGATATGCTCCGAAACTGTTATATAACGATCGTTATATAACGTAACGGCCGTTTTTAAAAACTATACTTGATGACCGAGGTAAAAAGAGAGAGAAAATTAAACTCCCTTTTGCATGTTCAATACAAGTTTAGAGCAATTCTCAACAACTACTTTTTTCTCCCTCTTTTTGTCCTTTAATCAAACTTGCTCGAACTCCTCTTGTGTTCTTTAGCACTTCTCTTCTCTTTGTTTTCATGTGGCGCCACTGAAGATGCTTTCAATTCCTTTTTCTTCTTTTTTTGTTTCTCTACTTTTGATTCTTTGGGGTTCTCAATGAAAGTAGCATTTCACTGCCTCTTACAGATTATTATCTTCTTTTTGGACAAAACAGCCATGTGTTTCAGGGCTAAATCACAAGAGAGTTGTATCATGGGATACACAAATTCTACATGATTGCTATTACCATTTACAATGAAGCCACACACCATTATTAGATCTTGACATTACACTGTTGCATTAACCTGTACAAGCAAGCTTGGGTAATTATATGACACCGACCCCTCTTTTAGTCTTAGCAATCTTTAGGTACCTTCTGTGGTGTAGTACACTCTGAATTGAATGTTATTCATGTAAAATGATGAGTAATACAATAAAAACTCTTCAGGTGCTCATAGGTTTTAAGCTACTGTGACTATGTACCATCTCATATACTGTTGAAAATGATGACTGAAGAGTTTTGTCTGCCAAGAATTCACATGACATGTTGGTCCTTTTAACTTTCAATTTTAGTCATCCAGTCCTTCTACTTATGTTCTGTCCATTTTGTTGGTTCTTAATTCCATTCACAATAGAGCCATTAAATGTTGTCAAAGTTTTTATTGACTGTATGAGTTCCAGACATACTATGTCCCAATTATCACCTTTTTTTTTTTTAAAAAAAAAACTCAATTATTAGTATTTTCAGTTGAAAATTTTCACAGATATTAGATAAAGTTCAATCCGTTTTCTAGTAAAGCTTCAGAATTTTTTGAGGTCAGGAAGTATTTTTTATTCATTTTTTAAACATTAGAAATCTAAAAAAATGAAAAAAAAAATACTTTTCAATCTTGAAAAATTCTGAGATTTTGTCAGAAAATTGATTGAATTTTTTCTAATGCGTCTACAAAATTTTAGTTCAAAATATCAAAAATTGGGACGTAATTTGTTTGTGATCCACGTGACCAATAAAAATTTATTATGTGAACATTTAACGGCTCTACATGCATGGAAGAATCAACGAAATAGACGAAACATAAGCAGAAAAATGGAAGAATAAAATTGAAAGTTGAAAGATCTCTTGTATACCTGAGAATTTTTCAAGAGTCAAAACACTCGAGTAGGCTGAAGTACAAGATTCTTGTTATTTTTAGATTTATTTATTTATTTATTTTATGAAGTAGCTTAAAATTTCCTAATTTGGCAAAACCAGGTACAACGGTAAAGGCAAGACCATCATATAGATTATGATACAATGGTGCATAATATGATGAATGCTCGGTAAAATGCAGGTTCAGGTGAAAGGTACAAGAGGGAAAGAAGAAACAACAAAAAGAGAGAGTAATAATGTGGAAAAGCAGAAAAAAAATGATGGGCAAATGTGGAGGTGCAGCGTCAGCAAGCAAGGTGGGTGCTTATCATGGATGAGAAAAAGGAATGGGAAGAAACACAAACCAAGAAAGAGGAATATTTTCTTTTTAAACCTGAAGGGTGCTAAAAAGGAGAGCTAGCTAGAGGTGGTAAAATAATGTTTTGAAGGGGGTCTCAGATTCTCTCTTTGAAGAGATTTTGTACATGGGAGGTGGAATTATTTGAGGGCAACCATGAACGGACAGAGATGTAAGACAATCTCCTATGTTGGTTGTGTTTTTTCCTTGGATCTTCTGCTGTAGTTAGTGTCTTAGTGATGTGATGTTTTGTTCCTACGCTCTGAAAATGGCTGACAGCTTTTGGGTTCACGTGCTCTCCTTTCTCTGTGGCATCAGAATGGAAAGATTCTTGTTTCTCCCCCCACACACATGAAATTCACCAACAAATAATTCATGGGAAGAACTTTACCTATCACTTGTTTCTAGATGAAATCTGATGATTGATGAAGAAACATTGAGAAAATGGAAATGGGATGTTCGTAGTAGTCATTCAGTTGATGTCTACTCTTTTTTTGATTGCAATCAGACAACTATACTCCAAACACAACTCAATATTATTCTGATGAGACGTTCTTAAGTGTTTAACATCCTACATCTTATATTGGCAGTTGAAAACAAAGAATAAATCTCATACTAATATCTACACCGTGTCTGAGATGCTCATAAACCAGTGGAAGACCTATGGGCTATGGTGATTCTTTTAATGTACAGTTCTTTCTTCTTACTTAGCAGTCCATTTTTCTTTAAAAATGACTTAATTGCTAGAATATGCTTCAAGACAATTCATAATCATTCTGCAAACTACTTGTACTAAATATCAACACTGCATATATGATCTTGTTTTTTCCAATGCAATTTGATTTTCTTTTTCGATAGCAAAATTGTTGGGCAAGTCATCAGGATCGTTATTTGTGAAAATGCACCATGTTGAGAAAATGAGAAATTACATTGCAGTCTCACAAGAATGAGTCTTTCTGGAAAACACTTGCACAAAAGCTGTTGGAACTGCTCTTAGTTCTGTCTGTTTTTTCTTTTTTACTTATGTTCACGCAATGTATTGGTAGAGACGGTTGCAAAGAGTATTAAAATAAGAATTCCAGGTCCCAGGGAATCAATGCAGGTAGGCATCAAGAATTTAGCAATCTCTTTGCAATATGAAAGTAAATTGAATTACTTCTCTGGCTTTGAATTGAGATTATTTGTATGTTTCTCCAAGATGTTACAGATTACCCGAAAAAAAAAAAAAGTGACAAACTAAATCTAAACATCTTTATACAAAATTTTCACAAGGGAGTACCTGTAAATAGACAAAAGACCAGACAGATAGCAGAACAAGATGATACGATGAAGCACTTCACGAAGGTGATGCGTTGGCATTTAAGTTGGAAATAAGCCGAACTTCGTATAAATTGTTCTCCCCCTTCCCTGCAAGCCATTATTGATTAGCATGATTCCAAATTCACCACATATAAAATTCCAAGCTGTGGCATGCCTTTCAAAGCTTTCCAAAGGCATATGTTTACACCCAAGCATTAAATGTAGAACTTACCAATTTCAGCTGTGATATCTGGTCCAAAGAATGAAGTAAATTTTGCCTGAAAACATGATTTGTGCTTAAAGAATCAGAATGCAATTATTCTTTAATCTCTTCTTGAAATGAATGATATAACATGGAATTACAAGGAAGAGGACTCTAAAAGAACCTCAATAAAAAAAAATTTATATAAATTTTACTAGACTCTAAATGATAACTTCTAGCGAAGTTCACACAATTTTTACCTGTCTTTTCTCAAAATCTGACAACTGCAAAGCTTTTGCCTCAAAGACCAGGACTAGGCAGTATTTACCATCCTCTGTGACCTGAGACAAGGTAATGGTACAAGCAAAATGATATGATACGAGTCAATGAAGAGCCTCATTCAGAAATCAGAACAGTATTTAGGAAGCATGGTTTAGTTCAAATGGTTTCATGTTATAGTTCTCCAAAATCATTTTAGTTATAGAATCAGTCAGAGAGAAGCGGAGCAAAAAGGTTGCTCGAATTTCTTTAAAAAAAACTGATAATTAGATGCTTCCACCTATCAGAAAAAATGTAGCAGCATAGTGAAAAAGACATCAAAATTTCATGGTTCTTAGCAATTTAACATCTCTTGATTAATAAATGATGCTTTGATGTGAGCAATCAAAAGTCTTCTGGTGAAATAGAACATAAATTGCATTCCAATAACATGACCCAAGAAGTTGCAGCCAATGCGAAGTGTCAATTAGAAAGTGATAGGATAATCAGCATGTTTTGGTTTTTAGAATTTAATATGTATTGTTGAGGGAACATACATCTTCACGAATCATCTGCAGAATAGGTGCATTCCGCCTTGGAATTCCTCCACCCTGAAACGCAAGACAGAATACATGATAATGAAGTTACAAGAACAAGAATGATATAAATTATCACCTATTTAAATAATTGCACCAAATACACAAAATGCTAGATCATATACTGGAATTTATATTCTCAAATGTAAAAGAAGTTCCTTTTCTATTCTTGGAGAAGTATTTGGTTTCACTTTGTCATCAATTAACTATAACTATATAAATGGGTACATTAACCAAATAGATTCAAGCAATATTTAGTCAAGTGAACACAAACTGCCTCTGAGCTGACGAAACATTACCAGTACGGAATTTCATACACAACATGGACTTCTGAAACAAAAGCTTGGTTTGTAATGAACGATCCCAAAAAAAAAAAAAAAAAAAAAAAAAAAAAAAAAAGAGGTAAAGGAAAAATCCTTTTCAAATGTATGTATTATCAACATTAGATACACATTTCTTTTTGCTAGAATTTTACACAAAAGCAGAATTAGAAATGTAATGTGAGCAGTTGAATCTAAGATGCCTAATTGCATTGAATAACACTCTGGAATATGAAAACATGAGAAAGTATGCAAGTTGGTCCTCTTTCATTGATAAAGTAGATAATCCATTAAACACGCACCAGGTACTATTAATTACTAGTCACTGGAATAACATACCAGACCATACTGGAAAATTCGTTTCAATGCCTCATCCAAATGCTGCTCATCTCCGTATCGATATCTTATAACATCATTCCTGACCTGATTAAGGAGATGAAAACATAATTCCAGCTGTTATACTAAAGTCAAAATGTCCAAAGAGTATACTATGCTTCCTACTTGTGAAAGCATTATCATAGCATAGATTACATCCAGTAAAGGTGTTTGCAGTCAGCGCAAGAACAGGCTATTTTCCAAAAGAAAGAAGCAAAAAGAAATAAGGTTTCGCACTGTTGCATAAAACAGCTATATACCACGATGTCATTACAAGCAGAAACTTCAAGATGAAGATTATATAGTCCAACAATAAATTACAAGTTTAAAAAGGATGTAAAATTAAATCTTTAACTCTCTAGAACATAATATTTTAGTCATCAATGATGCATATTACATATTAATCTTGAATTTTAGAGATGCTGAAAAAATAGCAAGGAACGAGTAATGAAGCTGAGCCTAGGTGGTAAAGACAAATCAATGCTTAAGTATCTTTCCATATTTCTCCAATTTGCTTGTTATTTAAGACTCGAAATTGGTCCAGCAATAAGCAAAAGTTGTCCCTGTTTACCTTGGCCACATACCAGGCCGAATGGAATTGCGATTTGTGAATAATGTCAAACATATCACTCAAAACAAAGATACCATGATGGAAACCAATCGACCAAAAAAGATTTGTTGGAGAAAGCAAATATTCAGCCTAGTATGAGAAGACTAAGTCTGGATGAGATGTCGAGTCATATTATCAGATTTCCTCAGCTAAGTCCCTAGAGCTAAGAGTTCAATTAGAAGGAATCTTAGAATAGATAAGAAACGAGCTACTTGAAATTGCTTGCTGACATTCTGTGTCCAGATGCTGAAAATATATATACCTGTTTAAGGATTGGAGTGGCACATTTTTCTCTTAACATCTCAGCATCAGAATAAGTCAAGCATGGCACTGGCTTCAGTTCTGCATACTGCAAGCAGTCGAAGGAAAACAACATCACTTCACTGCCAGTACCACTTAAACAAACTAGATATGTCATAGAAGCACTCCAGTATGGTTTTAAAGCCATCTTTTGAAAGAAAATCTAAAGAACCATATGTAACCAGACAAACAATATCAACTTACGAACAGGTTATGCAAAACAAGCACTATCACAGACATATTTCAAGCAATGTGCATTCCTTTTTATACTTACTGCCTTAATCTCTAAATGATTTCCAATAAGAAAATTAAAAGCAAAGAATATTCTGTGACATAATTGTCATAAAATCCCAGTCATAAGGAAAGAAAAATTTTACCTTGAGGGCCATACCAATTATTGCAAGAGGGAAGCCATATGTTAGCATTAGCGCTGACCATTCAGATCCTGGAAGGATGCTAAAATATGCCCCAAAACCGTACCTATAGATCACGAACAAATCTGTGATCAGCAGTCACTTTAGATACCTTTGGGTTGATCAAAGGGTAAAAAACTCACGACAGGAGTGAAATCCCCAAACCCAGTCCAATGACACCAAATGAGACCTGTAAACAATAGAAAACACCATAATTTCATTCATCAGAACATACGGATGATGACTCTGGGTGTACTAAAACGTTATGCAGTAAGCAGGCTTGCGTCAAGTCATGACCAAAGAATGTTCAGGTAAGTGATTAGACTGAAAAACATTTGGCTATTTGTTATCACTGGGAGTTTTCCCACAGCAATAATGTACAATAAATGGTTCCTCCAAAAACAAACTCTGCATCCCATTCCCTTTGAACCATTGAGACAGTTTCATCACCGATCCAATCAACAAGGAACAACATGAGTGAAAAAAAAAAAAAAAGTCAGTGTGTTAGCATCTAAGGATCTAACCCTCAAGCTTGCCAGTGCTTATCACTAAAATATGGCATCACACAACACCTCTGATCACCTATTAACAATACTAGATTTCACGTACTTGACAACTACAACAAGTGAGCGTAGCCCAACAGCCCTTGCACATTGCATAACAAAAAACAAAATACAACATTTGGAATACGAATTAGTCAACAAGCACTTAACAACTGCTCTTTTCATCATATATTACCTTGGACTTAAACCCCATAACGCCAAGGTTTCAAGAGTAAGAAAAACTGTTCGTACCCGTCAACAGTACTTGTAAATTATAGGCCGACGGAGTAAACTTTCAACAAAGCCTCCTTATATCTTTACAAATCTCATTTACAATCCAAGTAATGATAGTTAAATTTAGTTCTCTGGAGGTTGCTTTCCGACGCCAAGACCATAAATATTTACTCCAAAAAAATCTCAAAATAATGCCTCAAAAACTTTATTTTTTCAGCATTTTATTTTCTCATACAATTTTCATAGAAACAAGTTTAAGTTTTGCTAAAACCCCATTAGTTTAAATTGATAAAACTGGCAAACCCCAACAGCAAAATTACACTAACAACAAGAACCTAAACCAATGCCTTGACGCCAATATGGTCTTTAGTGAATCAAAAAACCAATTTACTCAAGCAAATATCATCATAAACAACAATAAAGACCTTAACTTCAGAAAAAAATTGACACGAACATGTCTATTTCACATAAATTATTACAACAAATTTAAGGAAGAACAACCAATTGCACACAAACTAAGAGCCAGACACAACACAAAAAAAAAAAAAAAATACCTTAGCAAGAGAGAACTCCTCATCAGTAACAATAGTTTTCGAAGCAGAAGTAGTAGAAGAAGAAGCCTGACTTGAATCAGCAGCTTCGGTTAAAAACACTAGATTAACTTTGTGGGGTTGTTTAGGACTCAATTTCGGTGGTGAAAAAGAATGCACAGAGAGAAAGCAGCAACCTTTGTTACTGTTCTTGTTATTACAAAACCTTCCAAATTGGACATCATAGTTGAAAATGGTTGTTCTTGTTGCTGCTGTTGCAGCTGCAGATGATATTATTGTTTTCATGGGGTACTGATTGATTGACTGATTTTATTGGTTTGTTTCCAACTCTAAAAATTGCAGACTTTTCTCCTGTTTCTTTCTTTCAATATGTAGTGTATATCTTGTTTTGGAGAGAATAAGAATGAGAGGTTACAGTTTGATGATCCAATAACCGAGTTTCAACCGCCAAATTCATTGTTACGTGGCACCGTTCCTTTTCTCTAGCTTTAGCTTTATTGTTCTCTCTCTCTCTCTCTCTCTCTCTCTCAATGTATGGGTCAGTTTTTATAACGTGTGAAAGTTAAATTATTTGTGATTATGATTAGAATATTAAATATTAAGTTAATAGTATTTAATATATATATATTAGGATTCAAGTATCAGTTTTTTTTTAAAGCATTTTTATATAATTAATGAATTCATCTCTCATTTAATCCATGTACTATTCAATTTTTTTTAATTGAAATTCTCTATAACTTTTAATTTTATTAAAATTCTTTATTTTTATAAATTTATTGATTTAAACCTTCGATTATAACTTCGTCAACTTTTCATCCGATGTGACACGTTGCAACCAATCACTAGGCAACACATAGCTAAGTCGATCCCAAAATACATTATTTTCATTTGAATTTAAAAAAAAAACTAAAAACTGATTTTAATAATAAATCACTACAAAACATTTAAAAAACGTGAAAAGACCAAAAACCCGGTCGTCATCGTTAGTAACAATATTTTTATAATTAATATTTATTATTTTAAATTTTTGTTTGTTCATTTTCCTCCATAATAGGTTGAAATTGAATTTTGCTTCACTTACCTTCAACTCGAAATATTCAAATCCTCTACTCATCTTCATCTTCAATCCATTCGGATCGAATTAGGTGGAGGACTTTTTCCTTTCAATGAATACCCAATTTGAGTTTTATTTTTTCAAAAAAAGAATCAATTATATATATATATATAAGCTTAAAAAGTAAAGAGAAAACCTCAAATGTATGAGCTCATTATTGATTGTGTCTCCAACCTTTAGATTGTATCAGCTTTACCTTAAAAATCTTCAATGTAAGATAGAATTACCACAACATGCGGTTTTCGTTTGTGGTGGTAGTTAACTAATCTGTCAAGTTCACAAGTGATTTTGCATGTGTTCGTTATCTCCTTTCATTTGGCTTTGAAGATAAATTCTAATTTGACGTAAAACATAATTTAAGCTCCAAAACTAAACTAATTAGTTGCTTTAGCTAGTTAGCTTTTATGAAAAAAAAAACCCCAATTTAAGAGAACCTAAGACCTATATGCATCCAACCTATGATTTGAGCTCACAAAGAAAACAAGACGAAAAATAGAACAAGAAAAATTAGAAGTGGACATAATGGAGCAACTTAAAGAAGATTGAAGTAATGCTAATGGTGCTTTTCAAGTTTTTGGAGAAAGAATTTTTTGCAATTGTTGAGAAAGAACACAAATCAAGACTAATTGGATCCATATAATTTTAATATAAGTTTTGGATCTGTCCAAATTATCCGATAATTTATTTTCAATTGCAATAATATGATTGAGAAAGGCAAACTACATACATAGATAGAATACATACGAACTTGACAAATCTTTTAAACATTACAAATGGAGAATGCATTTTGGAGAATTTTTGTCTCACACTCGAAAATGTTTGAAGTAAAACTAATGCAATAGAAAAGTTTAGGACTCAATCGATCATAAAGTCATATGATTGGGGTAAATTTGAGTTTTTTTTTTTTGAAATAAAAAACTTTCCCATCATGAATCATAAAACCATAAAATATAATCTAAAAATTTCAAATCTAAGCATAAATGTAATATCCGTGACTTAAAACCCTTCTAGAAATGTAAATGTATTGTATGGATATTTTGTAAATTAATAAAAAGATGTATTTATTAAATAAGTGAGTGAAGTTATGGATGAAATTATATGGCTAAATTACAAGAATTAGAAGTTAAGGACTAAGGTGTTAGGTGCGAATATAGTAAGGGACCTCCTAGTTAAATTAAAGGAGACAAAAATGGTAGAAAAAGCTGGAAATCCAAATTTTTGAAGAGAGAAAAATGGGGAGGGAGAAATAGGGAAAGAAAAGGGGAAGAAAAGAGAGAAAACCCCTAAATTGAAAGAAGGAAAACTTTACCCATCCAAATCCATCCCTCCCAATCAGTTTAACCCAATTAGAAACACTTTAAATTAGCCTCCAAACCATCTAAGAAGATCAAGCAAGGAGAAAGGAAGCATTTCTCCAATTTGATTGAAATTTGGAAGGAAGGAGAAGGAAGGAGCCAAAGAGGAAAGGAAAGAAAAAAAGGCCAAATTCTAAGTGAGATAAGTATAATTCTTCATACACACTATAGGAATTAGATGTTTGAAGTGTAATTAATGTTAATTTAGGATTTGTTTGATGAATGGTTAACAAATATGCTATTAAGGATTATATGAAAATGATTGAATTGTAACAGTATGGTAATGATTATGTGATAAGAATGATAATGTTTGAGTGATTGAGTGATGTAAATATTCAAGTTTGAAATGTGTCCTTGTTCTAAGAACAAGATGGATGAACAATCCATGATCATGAATAAATTGGTAGTTATTTTACTTAATGCCTACCATGTGTTTGATGAAATGTCTTAGAGACATTCTAAAGGCTAGAATGAAAGGATGGAAGTTGTCCTTCACTTAGTCGAAATTCGGCTAAGTATGGAAAACAAGGTCAAAGAGGCAAATGTTAGAGGTGAGGTTTAAAGGTATGAATGACATGAATATGATCATGTACATGTAAAAGATGAATGTTTATGGTGCTTATGAAGATTTGATATTATATGATGCTTCCCATGTTATGGATTGTCCATGATATGTTTTCATATTGCATGCATACATAATTATTTCAAACATGTGAATGATTTATAATGTTATACATCTTCCGGAGATGAAATGATACGCATGCCCTAGTTATGTTTATTACAATACATTTCATTCAAATGCATATGCTCATGCACATCATTATCATGAAAGAAAACTTTTATTCATGATTTTGATAAAAGAAAAAAGAAATGGTTATTATGAAAGAAAAAGGAAAAAAAGAAAGAAGTTTTCATGGTTTTCATGAAAATGTAATTTCTTCATCGAAGAATTTGGTAAAGACCTCGATAATTGGAGGATTTGATGAAGGCCCTAACTAATGAATGTGGTAAAGGCATTTCTTCGTTGAGGGATTCGGTAAAGGCCTTGATGGTTGGAGGATTTGGTGAAGACCCCAATCGAAAAAATGATAAAGAAAAGGGTGCACCCAAAAAGGAAAAGGAAAAGGAAATGGAAAATGGTTTCAAAGGCATGAAAAGGATTTTTATGAAAGATGTATCATGTGTATTCATGCATAAAGGACATCACATACATTGCATGAATTATACTTACCGAGCATCCTCTTGCTCATTATTGTTTTCTTATGGTGTAGGAAATGATAAAGACAAATGAAGGGTCGTCGCCGAGTCTAGTTATGAACTTGTTTTTTTTTGTGCTTTGGCTTTGTGTAGTGAGTATGGGAATGTTGTATGGCTTAACTTGATTTTTGGTATATATATCACAAGTTAGGCATTTTTAGTATATATGTAGAACAATTGAACAATTATTTTTTTGGTGTTAATGAAAGTGTTAATTATAGGTTAAGTTGTTATTATATTAATTGTGTTAATGGTAGCTTATAGATGCATAGATGACTAATATGATTAGGATGATATAATTGATAGGATTATGAAAATGATGGTAAATCAAAATGATAGGTAAGGAGATTAGGTATGAATGTTAAGGGTAAATTAAAAGAAAATGAAATGGTTAAATGAAATTAGTAAGGTTTAATAGAACCTAAAGAAAAGGAAAAATTTATATCCAAAATTAGGATTAAGAGGACCTAGTATCCCATACTTATTAGGGACCTTATGAATAGTTAAATGTCCACTTCCGTTAATGTATTAGATAAGATATGGGAGGAGACTTCTTGGCTTGCATTCATTATACGTTGAATGTAGGTCAATGTCGATAATAACCTCGATCTATCTAAGTCCTAGGACGGGGAGCGTTACGGATTAGTATCGAGCCAAGGGTTTACCTTAGCTATTTAAGTTAGGATGACTGATTAAGCATATGCAAGTCACATCCGGATGACGAGTAAGATCCAAAGGTATGTGATACATGATAATGTGATGAATTGTATGTTAGATTGATATGCTTGCATGGTAAATTATTAAGGGTATGTGTGTGTGTGTTGGCCGTATGTCACCTTCTTTTGAATGATACATAGATAAAATCAAGTAAAGTCATTTTTTTTAATGATAAATTTGCATTTGTATACAATAGTGGCAGTATGCTCTATTCCATTTTAAAAGGTATGTATTGCAATTAAGGTAAATGGATGACTGTATGTTTCATTCTCTTTGAATATTATATTTAATTAAATGCATGATATAAAATGTAAGCCTGTGTCGATTTTGTGTCTTGAAATGGAAAGTTTATACTAAAATATAAATTAGCTTTAAAGTGAATTGCATGGCCGTATGTTTCTTTTCCTTTGCATGAGATTGCATGGCCATATGCTTACTCCTTTGTCTTTTGAATGGAAAGTTAAGAATAAAAGTATAAACTAGCCATGGTTTCCTTAAATGATGTATATATTTTAAGTTACTGGACATGTGATGTCTTTCTCCAAGTCGTGTGGAATTTCTCTTTAGGGCGTGTGGAATTGATTCTGGCCGTGTGCCTTAGTTCCATTCTTGAATGATATATGTATATATATAATCAATTAGAGGTAAAAAAATAAAAAAAATAAAAAAATAAATAGCCGTGTGATATATATAGCATTTCACGTACACGACCGTGTTCCTTTCTTTTAAACCATGTAATGTTTCAATGTCTTTCCTTTCAAATCGTGTAACATTCTTGTTCAAGCCGTGTGAGTTCTATTCTACTGTCTGCCTTCAATCCTTTGGATTTGCTTTTTCTTTTG